GTCAGGTGGCGAGAGGGTGAGAAGAGATGGTGGACTTAGAAGAGGAAGAAGAAGAACTCTCTCTCTCTCTGTGTCCAGTACTAACCTGTGAAGTTGGCGCCTTGATGGAGGTACCACGAAGATGGAGCTGGAGAGATGGCGCCACAGGTAAGTACCACTGGCCTCCGCCAGTATCTCTCCCAACTCCACGATCTACCACCTACCAGCGCCCAGCGCTGAAGACTACTCTAGCTATGGGCGCCCAGTGCCGAAGACTACAGCTAGCGCTAATACTACTGTCTAGTGCTGAAGACTACTGCAGCGCTCCTCCTGAGTGCTGCGGCCGAATCCTCAAGACTACTCGTGCCTACTGACAACTACCTACCCGTGAAGTGCAGGGGAACTTCCTATGTACTACCGGGTGTGCCTCCTGAGCCGTGCGAGCAGTTCAGGAGGCTGCTCTTGCCAATGCTGAAAGGAGGCAGGGGCTGCAGCAGCTCCTGCTCGAGCTCGTGAGGAACAGGCTATTTCTGGCCTGTTCCGCATCCCTGTTTACGTGCCTGAGTCTTAGGGGCAGGTCGAAACAATGAGGGCCTGAAAATGGCCCTCCGTTTCAGGCTGGAAAAACTCTGGGTCTGAAAGACCCAGGCTGAAACGGAGTAGGGCCTGCAGGCCCTCGTTTTTCAGCTGTCAGGCTGAAACGACCGGGGCCTGTAAGCCCTAAGTTTTAGGCTTTTAGGCTGAATGTCCGGGACGGGCCCTGCAGGGCCCGTGTGGCTATGCAGTATGCCACAATACACCAGAGAGGAATAGTGCACATCGAGTCCAATGCCCACAATGTGGCGATGATTTCTTCAGTGCACCAGACACGAGGTGCCGCTACTTGTGCAGCATTTGCACGGCTAGCAGCTGCCCTGAGCACCAGTGAGGGTGATCAGCTTCCGATTCCTACATTTGGTCCACCCAGTTCTCACACACCTGACCCATCCCTCTCTCATCCACCTAGCCCCGCTCGCTCCCCTGCCCCAAATGACAATGACCCGTCTCCTGATTACCTGTCGCATACCAAGATGGTACAGACCAGAACCAAGAACCGACCTCTTACAGATAGAACAGGATAGCACAGTGGAAGGCTAGAATACAACTGATCAGACCCAATCAATGTCGAAATGCAGGCTGGACATACATCATCATCATCGCACGGTGCGAATGGCCTGGCACTGCACTCCAGGACGAAGGTGCCAGGCCCAACTTCATACACAGATGAGGAGGAGGGGGAAGAGAAGAAGGAGAAGGGGGAAGAGATCAGAATGTCGTCAACCCAAATGTCGCTGATATCAATCCCAAACAGTCCCCCCAATGTCTCTGCCCAATGTCGATTCCAAATCCCAAGTGTCGTCAATCTCTCTCTCTCTCTCTCTCTCTCTCTCTCTCTCTCTCTCTCTCTCTCTCTCTCTCTC